GATGAATGGGTTGGCAGGAAGATGGGTGGGTGAATGGGTGTGTGAATATGTGGATGAGTGAGGGGGTGGATAACCAGCTGTATAGATATATAGATGAAATTTTTTGGCATCCCCCAGCTCTTAGCTCTTAGCATAAAGTGGGAAGAACTGGAATGGTATTGTGGGAGATCCTCAACCAGAAATCCAGGCACTCTGCTTCAGATACTACCTCTGAAGTCATTAAATGTACTCCTTAGCTTACTGTCTGTCTCCTCCTGTGAGAACAAGTGAGAGTAGTAGCCTTTTCCACTTTGTCCTCCACTTATCCCGAGCACCCAGCACACTGCCCATTACACACACTAAGTGCTTAATTAATACATATTTATTTGATGAATCCATCCCAGATCTGTCCCTCACCAGCCTTAGAATCTAACCATCTCTCAGACCTCTGCTTGCCCTCTGAAGAACGGGGACGGGCAGCATCTCTCCCAGGTCAATGACTGCTGTGGGATGCCAGGCAGGAAATGATGCAGAACTGCTTTTACACACCTGCAGCCCTGAGAAAATGCACCCCACAAAGCCCTTTCCAATGCCTCCTTCCCCCTTCCACTCTCCATCTCTGCCTTGCCTCTGAGTGTCTAGTTCAGTGCACAGCTTTGCTAAAATCTTTATTTGGGTTGCTTTACATTTCTGATAGGGGGTGGGGTGAGAGTCAGGGCAGGAGAGGGAAAGACAGACAAGGGCTCTCCCAGGCCCCGGGGTCCTGCACTTGATTGAGTGGCATTGATAAAAGACCATCCCGGCTTTTTTGGCTCAAGCCATCGGGAGAGATAGTTTGGAGACAGCTGGTTCCAAACACAAGGGAGCCCTCTGGCCTGCCAGGGCCCTTTGACATTTCATTGGGCCTGACTCCTGGGCTCATTGGAAAGAAGACAGACAATGAGGGGAAGTCAGATAGTGGGGCAGCCGGGGGCCAGGGGGAAACCACCCAAGGAGTTATCACTTAACGGGAATCCCAAACTGGAAGGAAACCTGGCCGATTCCTTATCACTTTACAATGTGGAGGCTGATGATGAATTGCTATTTGTTGTCTCCCAGGCAGGACAGACGGAGCTTGGCTGGAATGTTCCCTGTCACTGGGAGCTCCCTTTTGGGGATAGAGGGAGGTGAGAAGGGCAGAGGTTTCTGGAAAGGTGAAAGGTCTTCTCCAGGGTACACACCCCATGCACCCCAAGTCCACAGGCCTCAGAGGGAATCTTGGGATGGGCCACTCACTAGCTGGGTGACTTGGGGCAAGTTCCTCAGTCTCTCCAAGCCTCAGTTTCCGAATCCATGGGAAAGGGGTAATTCTTCACCTTGTTATCTCCAATCAGTCACCAAGGCCTCATCCCACCCACACCTCCGGCGTCTCCCCACACTCCCAGTCTGAGCCACTGTCTCATGCCTTAGACCCTAGAGTGGCTTCTTAACAGATCTCTGGTGTCAAATACAGTCTCCTCCTATCACAGCAAAGTGACTGCTTCAAAGCACGATTTAATCATGTCACTCACAAGTTTAAATCCCTCCAATAGCCACGACATTGCTGCTAGGGTAAGAGCTGAAGTTCTTAGTTGTAACGGTTTCTAAGGGCTGGCATCATGCTTGGACCCTGACTTTCTGTCTAGTACTCATTCCACACCACTCTGTCCTTGCTCTGGGCACAGGGAACCTACTAGCCTTCTGTTCACTCTCCAGAGGGGGCAGGCTCCCCTCGCCTGAGGGGCTTCATGTGTTCTTTGCTCTGTGCCTGGACACCCACTCCTCCCCTTCTATGTGACACTCCCTGTTCTCAGATGTCAGCAGCAATTTGTCCCTGATCTTCCACCCTAGACTGACGCTCCAGTTTAACATCCATTAGCACTTTGTATGTCTCCTTTACAGCGTGAGATCACAATTTTAATTAAACAATTAATAACTGCATGTATAATGTTTGAGCCGCTTGCAGTAGCGTGGACTTCATAAGGTCGGGATGGTGTCTATGAACATGCAGGGAGTGATCCTAGATGCCAGGTGCCCTTTTCTGTGAATTATCTCATTCCATTTCATTATAACCCTATTGTCATTCCCATTTTGCACAAAAGATAGTTAGAACCCAGAAAGGTGAAACAGCATGTCCATGGTCACACAACTGCCAAGCGTGTGATTATTTCTGCAATGAACCCGCCATCAACTCCGGGTTTCCCAGTGGCAGTGACAAGCTGCTCTGAAATTCATCTGAGAACCCTGCAAAGTCAATGGCTCACATAATCCAAGAGGCTTATGAACCTTTCATTCAAAGCCTGCCTGCTACATCCTTCAAGAATGCCATTTATAGGCTCGGCGCCTATAGCTCACCCGGCTAAGGCGCCAGCCACGTACACCTAAGGTGGCGGGTTCGAATCCCCAGCCCGGACCC